GTAGAGGAGCTCGATCCAACGGTTTAAAAACTGCGTTCTAAGTGCAAAATTATTCATCATATAACATGGGGAGGGGTTGCCCCTAAATATTGAATACTACATTTTAGATTTATTAAATTCCAAACATAATATAATGTAACTGTACATTATACCTACATGTATTTGGATCAATATTCATCTTATTTTTCGAAATTTTTGCCACTTATATTTTATACATTCTGCAGTCACTTAAAAAATAAATTTTTAATAGGATTATAATTCCCATTTTTCACGTTTTAATGTTAAATTATTAAAAATAACTTACTTTTTCAGGCTTTATTACAAAATATTTTTAAGAGCATAAGAAAGTTAAAATGGGACATTTATTTGTAAATCGCGATAACCGTAAATATACACGGATTTGAATATAAATAGTATATATATAGAACACATATAGTCTATTTATACAATTACATACTCATCATAATATATATATATTTAAAATTATTAAATTTATTACAAATATTATTTTTTATTTCTTAAGATAAAAAGTCTCTGCATGCATATTGCATATGTTATTACAAAATAATTATATAAACGTTTTATGTATTTTTATAAAAAATAATAAATTAATTTTTAATATTTTCGTTTATGTTTATAATTAATAATAATTAATTTACATGAAATATTATTATGTTCTTTAGGATAAAAAAAAAACTTGGTAGGTATAAAATGTGAAATTAGTTATACATATTAATATATAACATGGTTATAGCGTTTTTTTCACGGTTTAAAAAGTATTACGGTAATTTATTTTAGGTAGGTAACCTATCTATACTGGAAAATTAAAAAAAAATGAATAAAACATGTATCTATTATCTATACATGTTAAACGTTTTAATTTTTTCTATTATATTGACATTTTTTAATGGAATTGTAAAGAAGGCCATACAGTGATAAATGTATAAGAAGGTAATATAGATATATTAATTCATTCATTTCTTCATTCTTTGAAAAATAAATTCTTTATTGCACTTATGTGACCACTTTTATATTAAATATTTACTGGCCATATACAGTCGATTACATTTATTCAGTTATTCCTATCAAATATGAATAGTGATCGTAAAACTGCTTTATTAGTTACATTTTTTAGTTTATGTTTCATTTTAAATACCTATATACCTGCATGATTTCGTGCTTAAAAAGGTTCTCAGAGTTAATTATAATTTTAAAATGTATGATGTACAGTAGTTTATTAGAGGATACCTAGTTGTTTATGTATTTATAGTGATTGTACACTATAAAGATAATAATTATTAGTGTAATAGAAATTTTAAGTACAATAATTTTGTTCCTATAAAATGTATATGTACCTACTCGCCGCCGTCGATTTCTAGCTTTAAATTATTAAAAATATAAAGGTAATAAAGTAATATCATATATTATGTGCCTATATAGCGTATGCCATACTGTCTCGTACGTCGTACATATAATTATATTATGTTATAATTTCTTAATTTAATCAGTAGTATTACTCTTTGGGTTTTCGTTGACAAGTATTTTTCTATAATACACTTTCGAGCATCATTAAAAAAAAAAGTTTATCATACAAATTAAATTTATTTTCACACATAAGTATTTTTATCTGCCTATTAAAGTGTTCTCAACAATCATTATAACGATAAACGACTGTATGTATCTAATTAGATAAAAAAAAAAGGAAATGATAAAAACTATAAAATATAAATATAATTTAAATTACAACACATATTCAGATTTCTCATGAATTCTCGAATTCTTTCATAAGGTATATAAAATTTGTGTACAAAATTCATACAATGAATTAAGTATGTAAATTATTGAAATTAAATAAAAAATATTTATTTTAAATTTTGTTTCAGATTATGACAGGTTCGCTATATTCAAAACTTTATATAAAAATAATGAGAACCGATATATCTAACGTTTTTATATACCTATTTTAGTATTATGCTATGTATTTTTAATGCGAGAATTGGCAGCGATTTTCTGTCACGTGAGAACTTGTTACGCGGTTACTAAAATAAGTATCTAGATATTATATAAACATTAAAATACGTAGGTACCTATAACGCTTAACGTGGAATAATTTATAAATACTGTTACTTCACAGTATACACCAAGTGTGTTTAGAATTAGTGTTATATACCAGTGTTGTTAAGGAACGCATTCCAAAAGGAAAGATTCCAGAAATTGATTCATTTTTAGAGGAACGAATGAATGAATTTATTCCATTATTTTTTAAAGGAATAGGAACGTAAATATTATAGTTCTTTTGTATAGTACCTACAGGCTACAATAATGTATATTATKCAGTATTTTAAATATATTTTAAATAATATTTTTTACACATTAATTGACAATTGTATTTATAATTAAAATATTTAGGATAATAAAACAATTTTATGATGTATTTATGAGGACGTAGGTAACTATATAAGCACCTGGTGCTTGTTTAGAGGAACGAGGAAAAGAACGAGTTCTTTTTTTAAAGGAACGAAGAATTGAACGAATTCCTATTTATACTAGATGAACGAGAAATTGAACAGATTCCTATATAAAGGAAATTTTAACAACACTGTTTATATACATGTATATTATTTATTATTATTTTATATGTATAATTATTATGTATGCATTACATTAAATAGGTACACCAATATAAAATATCAATCGTGTGGTGTGATAGATCAATAATAATATTAACATGAGAAAGCAGACAGGCATAGGAAGCATATTATTAAATGTCTCATACTTGTGGTTTGTGGTCTATCAGAAAGCACATAAAGAAATAGACTGATGAACGAGAGAGAGTTTCGGGAGCCAACATTGTAAGAAAAATATAGCACATAGTATATAGCTTAAGACGATCTATATATTCTATACCTACCCTTAAAAGTGAACGAGAGAGAGAGAGAGAGAGAAATAAATTTATAACAACATTTTTAGAAAAAGATAGCATACACTTTAGGTCTCGTCGTATGCACAAGTACCTACTGACTATTTCTTTCTGACAATGTTGGATTTTGGCCACCTATAGCCTGGTTTTGTGAACTCACAGTCCACCTTTATGTTTATTGTATATGGCATGAGGGTCTGGGCCGTCTGGGGTCTGGTGTAATGCGTTATGTTGCATATTATATTTAATTATAAAACATATAAAGTGTTGTTAATATAATGTTATATAATGCAAATTTATATGAAACATGAAAGCAGGTGGTGATTTATAGTTTTATAGAATCCAAATCTTGCTTAAAATTAAGAAATGTTTCACATTCGTATCATTTTTTTAAGGAGTTATATTTAGGCAATTCATATTACATGTACATTTAGGCTGTACCTATCCATGCACCATGCGTGAGAACAGGGGCGGACTGGCAGGGCGGGTAAGTGGCCATACCCACCCAGGCCCTCTAGACATTTTATGTTTGGGCCTTGACCTATATTTGTTATGTTTAATAATTTTTCAATTCCACACAGTAATCATTACCACGAAAACGAAGACTACAATATTACAGTAGGTACTATTTACAAAAATTAAGTTACTGGAACAGTCAGACTGCAGCCGCGAAGGCTATGAAAGTTATTTTAGATTCATTTTTGGAATATGTGTAATTTATTAATTTTTTAAAACAATAATAGTAATTAGTATTAAAAATAGTGTTTAAATTAAATACAATACATTTATTTTATTTGTATTGAAAAAGATTTAAGATTTAAATATTGGAGAGTAACTTGTTTTTTTTTATTTAGTTGAGTATAAACTACAATATGGTATTATCAAAAACTGTTTTCTATATACAGGTGTTTACTATATTTATAATGAACCAAAATAGATAGATATACCGTATACCATATAAGATCTACAAAAATATAAAAAAAAACGCACATTATTAATTACTTATCGTAAATGGAAAAGTTGCCAGGCTACAGTGCCTAACAGGAAATCCGCCTTTAGATACAACATAGCAGTGGCGTCCCTAGACCCTTTCATAGGGGGGGGGGGCGAACTTCATACATCACCTATATATTTATATGAAAATACACCAATTACCAGGTTTTTTACCTTTTAATTAATTTTAAGAAAGAAAATAGAGGTCATGGAGGGGGCGACTGCCCCATTCGCCCCCCCCCCTTGAGGACGCCCCTGCAACATAGTAGATACTGTTAAAAATGTAATTTGTATTAGAGTAGATTTATAGATAAGCCCCTCCCACCTCATGTATATATGTAATCTTAACTTTCGGGTCAGTTGGCTAGAGACCTACGTTGCGATACGAGGTTGTCCTGGAAGTCAAACCGTAATAAAGTGTAATTGTATAAGAAAAGTGTTGTGTATTGTATTTTTCTCTATAAATTATACCTAAAAGGAAGAGTGTTATATATATTTACAGTATAACTTGGTGAAATCCAAATTAACTAGAAATAGTTAACAATACTAAGATATTATAATAGGTGACAACTGTGAAGTGAAGTTCACAAATATAAATAAACAAAAAATAATAATATTATGATTTTAATAATATGGTGTGACCATATTGGACACTAGATATTATGAGCTAACATAAATTATGGTGGTACTAATATAATAAAAACAATGCGCATCGGGGCTGGAACAGCTGATGTCCCGAATTTGATAACAGTCACGGCATGAATTGCATGATATCATTGATATCATCAAAATCAAATTTTAGCGAGTTCTAACTGTTCTAACTTCTAAGACGGAAAGACGCTTATACGCTTAACCAAACAATTATTAATTGCGTTTCCCTATTGCCGGTGACGGTTATATTTTTGTTATTAAATTTGTTTTATTATCTGATGCAAATACTTTAGATTCTACAGCGTACGTCCAACACGATTATACTTTACTGAGATTTATTAATTTGTGATGGTACATTGCACGTCGGTCAAATACGTAAAAAGTATGTTTATATAATTTATATTGGTTGTGAATTTTAGATTGCCGGCTGTACAAAATGAAATTTAAAACTGTAGCAGCTCTACTGGACGGCGTGCATACAGATTTTGTGGTGTCGGTTTTCGAGTAATATCTTATGCACGATGTGCCTTTGCCTTTGTTGATAAAACTTTATATCTATGTTTACGTTCAATTGCTTTTCACAGGGATACTACTTTTATTGCAATTACCCAAAATTCAAAACTAGGGACATTGCATCTGGTCAAGCCTAATTGTTATTCATTAGAAGAACAAGTATACGACATAAAGTAAGATTTTAATTTTTAAATTTCAAAAATAATGACAGTCATTATGAATAACATTTTGTTTAACTTAGAGTGCTTTTTGGCCGGGAAGACGATAACCAAATTTCCAGTATTGTTAGTTTAATGCGAGCTCTAAACATCAACAGCAACACTATTATTTCTCTCATGATTGAAAACACTAACTTCAGAACTTTAAGAGCTGTACAACAGGTCCTATCTACATTGATTTAAAAAGTTAACTTACCAAACAACATGCCTTTATATGGTCAAATCATCATTGGACCACCTGGTAGTGGGAAAACTACGTACTGTGATGAAATGAGCAAGTACTTACAAGAAATGGGAAGACGAGTAGCTATAATCAATTTAGGTAAATGATCTATGATTATTGAATAACAATAAAATTTTAGTTTTATAAATGTAATTTAAGGTAACAATTTTAAATTAAAAGAAAAATTTGTTATCCTCTTGCTATTTTATATTGTTTCTATATAATGCTTTTACTTTTTACCACTAAACCAATGTACATTATAATAATATATACATTTTAATGTATGTGGTGAAATACATTTATAGAAATCAACAGAAAAAATAACTTTTAAATGCTGTTAATTTTATTAGATCCAGGCAATGATTCATTGTCTTACAAAGCAGCAGTTGATATATCAGAACTTATTACAGTAGAAGATGTTATGGATTATGTAAATTTAGGACCCAATGGAGCTTTGATTTATTGTATAGAATACTTGGAAAAACGACTTGATTGGTTGTTGGAAAAATTGAGGAAACTGACTGATTATTATTTATTTTTTGATTGTCCTGGACAGGTATATAATTAATTTAAATTAAATATATTAAGCAGAAACTAATATTTCACTCAATTCAGGTAGAAATATACACTCATCATAACTCAATGAAAAATATTATGTGTGCAGTTAAAAATGAATTAGATTTGCGGTTATGTTGTGTACAACTCATTGATTGTCATTATTGCAGTGATCCAGGTATGTTTATACCTTTTCTGTTTAAATTTATTTTGTTGATGTTTTTAAGTAAAGTATGTCTGTTATTATAATTTATGAATAATTTTATGAGTCAAAATACATTTAAAAAAAACTACTTACCAAACTAGTTAATTTCAATAGTATATGTTAATAAATTGTATTTCTTATATTTAATTTTTAGTATTAATTTTTATTTTAACAATTAAAATTCTTAATTAGTTCATTAGAAATTATATTTCAATTGATTAAGTTTTATTTTAATGATTACGAGACCAAAGACTTGTTACTTTTGCTTATAACTCTAAAACAGTTCAGTTCTTTAATTTGAATTAAATTAAAATTAACGATTTGTAATATGTCCTTAAAATCGCCTTGTACATTATAATACCTAACTATTACAAATCCCAATTAAATTTAAAAAAAAAAAAAAAAAACATAATAATTTCATCAAAAAATTATTTGGACTTAAAATAAATCATTTATGTAATCTAGATATAAACAAATAAATCAGTTGTAACAATGAAAAACAAAAAACCAAAACATAAATTATTTGACTTCCAACATTTGAAAATCTTAAAACTGTTTTACTGAAAAACGTGATATTTGTGACGCCAAACTTTTGGTCTCTTAGCCATATTATATTCTCTGGACAACTCCATAGAGCTTATATTGTATTCTATAAATGAAAAAATCTTAATAATTATTAATTTTCAGGTAAATACATTTCAGCACTTTTAATGTGTACATCTACCATGTATCAAATGGAATTACCTCATGTGAATATATTATCAAAAATAGATATAGCTATAAAACATAAATCACAGCTATTATTCAATTTAGATTATTATACAGATGTATTGAGTCTTGAGCAGCTATTGGATGCATTGCAAAATGATTCCCACACTTCTAGGTACATATATACATATATATATATATATATGAAGTATAATTTACACTTTATAATTTATACTTAATACAGAAAAGGAGAGATGAAGATTATGTGGGGGAAAGATATTGTTATGGAGGTGTAGGACAAAGGCGACGGCAGGCCACATATGTTGAGAGTGAAGGGCAAATATTAAGATGATTCTATAAAATCAATTTAATGTTTAACTTTATATTATAAACTGTCTACTAACTTATATTATTATAGTGTATTATAAATTTGTTATAAATCAGCGGTTCCCAGACTGTGCGCCGTAGTGTCTTAACAGGGGCGCCACGCTGCCGTAGAATGTTATCATTCATCCCATTCATTTATTATATATAAATAAATATATACCTAAATCTTAATGTAACTAATGTCTTATAACATTTGTAGAGTTACAATTAAATAAATATTTTCATAGTATATATTACTAATTGTTCTGGTTTTTTATTATTTTTATGAAGAGCACCAAATAAATCTTTTATTTAAAAAAAGGACGCCATGAGACAAAAAAAGTTTGGGAACCGCTGTTATAAATAATAATAAATAGCATTTTCTTTTTTTTAACTGTAATGTGAATTCAAACTACTTTTTCTAAAATATCAAAAAAGCATAAATAAGTTTTTTGTTTGATTTTATAGGTATCATCGTTTGAATAAAGCTATAGTTAGCCTAATCGAAGGGCAAAATATTGTTTCATTTATACCACTAAATGTGAAGGATAAACGTACATTGGAATTGGTGAGAAAGAATATTGATAGAGCTAATGGATACATTTTTAACCCTGAAGAGAATCAAAACACTGAAATGCTGAACTCAGTTATGCAATTGGATATCAACGATTTAACTCTGGACGTATTAGAAGATTTACCTAAATCGGATCCATTAGAAACAATGATGCAAACCTAGTTTTATTTACTTTTCTATGTAATTCTATTTAGTAACTAAAATTCTAACTTTTTTTAAAATAAATAAATAAAATCTAATACATATGTTTGCATATAGAATTATATTCTTAAAAACATATTCCAAATACCTAGTTGAAAATAATACACTAAAAAAATATCAAATAGATACTAAGTACATAAATATAAAAATGTGTATAATAATTATATACCCTGGATAATTATGTTTAAATAACTATGCACATAGTAAAACAGATATAGATATTCAATTTGATGAAACATAAGGTGAAAATATATACATTTGCGATGTTTGAAAACAAATATTTGTCAAACAATAATTATGTGAAATCATCATGATGATGACCTGGTTAGAAAAACAGATTTAGAAGGATAATTTTGTAAAAAAAAATGTGTTTAAACTTTTAAAGTATTATAAAATATGATAACAACTTGATAAATAATCATAAAAACTTAAAGTATAAATGTTAATTACAAATCAAATTCAAATTTAACACTTAGTGAAAGTTGTTGACAAAAAAGGCGAATATCACAATAAAATATGTAACAATAATTGATATAATATGAGTTATGTGCACCTATATAAGGTTTACATAAATTGAACAAGAAATTGTTTAAATACCTCTTAATATACTGATTACTGATTAAATAGTATCTATAAATCTCTTTCAACATTAATGACTATTCAACTATGAGATTATAAAAGTTTTACTTTGATCACAGTAGTACATTTCTATAAATTAATTGCTTGGTTATGTATAATTCATCGATAATGCCTTTTCATAATCATCTTCTCTAGAATTGCTGATATTAGATAATATAGTTTCAGAGTGAGATATTGAGAATCCAAGTAATTCATTAACTGAATCCTGTAATGATGGCTGTGCTTCTTTCAATTGTTCATAAATACTATAAGCTGTAGTTAAAGCTTTATCCAAATCAATTTGTTCACATAAATTATTGACATGCTGAAAAAATAAATTAATTGTATTACTATAATTAGACGTGACTTTTGGTTCAAAACAAACAAATTAAAACCCTTCTGGATTTAATAATTTTTGATATAAGTAAAAATGTATTATGAATTGAATGACAGTACTAACTTTCAATATTTCAGTTAATCCATAATTTTCATTGATAATAGTATCCTTTTCGTTATCCAATATCGCTACACAAATCAGTAAATGGAAATTTGCACAGGGAATATCTGTCCATAATACTTCCCACAAACGCATGATATCAGAATAAATAAATTCTCGTTTAAACAAAACCAAAAGCCATCTAAAGCAAAAGTACATGTTGCTGGAATCCATCTTTTTCAAATGATTTTCTAGATTTGGTGATACAGTTGTAAGCAAGTAATGCAAATCATTCAACTGTTTTTTCATGCCAGTTTGTTTCAATTCAAAGTTAGTATTCTAAAATAGCAAAAAATATTAGAAATAATCTAAATTGAAATTTGTGTTATTTATTTTCTCACTTACAACTCGATTCATGAATCCCACAAAACACCAAAATGATTCAACTTCATCGCTGTTCATTATCATCAATATTGGTGATAGCAGATCACTCATACCCTGGACATAACCGAGATCAAAGTTGTACATAACATAAGTCATTAATACATTATGTAATTTAACAAGATTTTCATTTCCTTCTCCAGCATAAAAATAAAGTGTGCGGTCAGTTCTATAAACATCTTTATCTGTAGTTAAAGAAAAACATTTAATGACTATTGACTATTAAAACTGGAAGACTGGCCTAAATATTTACCTATTAGGCTCTTTCTATCTCTGTACATATTAAACCTAGATATTTGATCAGAAGACATATTCATCCATTGTACTTTCATTCTCTCGTATTCAGTTTTTTTATGCTTGTCAATGTTTATACGTTGTTCTCTAGTAGAATTCCATGGATAATATCCAAGTAAGTACTTCCATACTTCATGTCTTATCGAATGTTCGCAACCCTAATTATACAAACAACATTAATAGAATACTTTACATATTATATACATTTATATAACCCACCCCAAAAAAAATTATGTTTTTTATGTAATCTTCTTTTGTTATTCGACCCTCATCATTCATAGATTGATAAAAAGTGTTTTGATCTAATGGATTTCCTCTTGACTTTATTCCTGGTCTTGGTGGTAATACAGTTGGTGGAGGATGATCTACCATAGTATATTCGTCATCTTCCTCAGCTCTATTTAAGAGTTCAGCCACTTCTTGGTCTGGTCTAGTGTCCGGTGTACGAGTCACTACATATTCAATGTACAATCATAATCAAATGTAAGTACATTCAGTATATTATTCATGATACTATATAGCATCTTTTACTCACAAAGAACATCGCTAATTTTTGCAAATG